AGAATCTGACGTTGACAGGAATATTGTGTTTACCGGCTAGTTTAGTCCAAGTGTGGATAATTCTTGAGCTGGTTTCAGAAATAAACAAAACTTATCTAAAATGCATATCTACAGTAAATGGGAAGAGAAAATTAGAATGTTATATTTCCAAACTGTTGATGTTATAAACTCCTTATAAGTACAGTAGCTTTATGTATCCATTTTGGTCTTTTTTACTTTAAATGTTGCTTTGATTTACTGGAGAAGAAAATATTCTGTATTATTTTTAGCATGACAGGCAACATGGTACAGCTTATTTTAAATTAAGAAGCTTGAAAAAAAAAAAAGAGACTAGTATAGCAGGGGAAGATTTTTTATAAAACTTCCTGTGGTACCTCTTTGGCTTGTAGAAAATATTAAGTCACAAAAAGTTTTTAATTTTATAATTTTTTTTCCCAAGGAAATTTCCTGCAGCCAAAAAAAATCTTGTGAGATGTTCCATTCACTCAGTTTCTTGTGAAAACCTAGACTTCATGTTTCATTTCCTGTCACCAACGGTACTGTGGTAATGGTAAAAATACTGTTTTGTAGTATGGTATAGTTCTAGGATGTTCACAAGAAAAAAAATGTTTTCTATTAATACTCTACAACAGCAATTCTAAATCTGTGGTTCATTGGCTTCCTTCAGGTGGTTCTAGGAAAGTTTGCATAATTATAGAGAGAAAGCAACAATATAATGTTTGGCTCACATTGTGGTTCGCAGAAATGTAAAAAAAAATTCACGTGGTCTAAAAAAAAACCATCATTAGATAGATCAAAAGCGAAAGGATCAAAAGGTCACCAAGGTAGTTCCGAGTACTTCATTGTCAGAGCCATCATTAGATAGATCAAAGGTGAAAGGTTCAAAAGGTTACTAAGGTTGTTCTGAGTACTCTAATGTTGGAGCCAGCATTAGATGGATCAAAGGTGAAATGCCACTAAGATAGCTCCAATCAAAAGCACCTCCTCACCTTCACACATTACTGGACACCATTACATCAAAATAACTTTAGTGAGGGTGGCAAAAAAGTTGAAAAGATGCAACAACTCTTTTTAAAGTTTTTTTTTTCTTGAAAATGTTAATATATTTATAGAGAGTTGTTTCATCTTCCCAATTTTTCCATATGGCATTTCCTTTTTTTTTAATTTCATTTCAGATTTTTACTCAAATCTACACAAGGATTATCTGCACATAGCCATTTGTAATTTTTAACTCATTGAATAGGGGGGAGGCAGTTAAGCAACAGCACCCACTTTCAACTC